TGGAGTTGTAATGAGCAACACGTTCTGTCTCGTGGAAGACTTGCTCCAAATCATTCCCTGTGGGCCAGGTTTTTAAATTATTATTTTAAAACACACACATTTATATGTTTTAACCTCAGTTTTAAAAAATTCCCCCCCCACACCCAAATTATCCAATTCTTACTCATCAGGAAGCGAGTGCATATGTGGACCACACACACATGCACACATGTGCACACACACCCCCCACCACCACAACAACAGGTAACAAGGGCCTTGGAAAGTTCTAAGTAACTTATTTTCATTTCCCAGACCACATACAAGTCTCCTGAAAGCAGGGATTTATTTAGGTCTCAAACACAGCATGACTCAGAATGATGAACCAACAGATTACAAGGTAAACAGCTAGTTCTGTGTCACACCAGATTCTTCTGACTAAAGCAACTTTGGATGCTATAGTCACTGTTCAAGAGAATTAAGAGAAAACTCGAAAGTTCGACTCAGGAATTAAAATGAGAAATGTGCTCTTTAGTTTTAAAAAATAACAATAATACAAAGGAAGACATACTAGGGATAAAAGAAAATCTTTCCTGATGCAATTCCTTGCCCATACAAGGGAGAAGACATGCTTGCTTCCTTATTTCAGATGACACATACTACACTTCATGACACGGAAATCATTGAGGACAGAAAGGAATGTTGTCTACCTTTCTGCTTACAGTTAATGATGGCTTTTCTAGAACAAAGACATAAATTATCATAAAGGGAGGAGTGTGCCCAGCTATTTGCCTCCCTAAGGAAGACAGCTTGAGGAACAGGACCTATACACATTGCAATCTCAACAGCACTGAGCACAGCAAAAATATAAAGCTCATCAAACATTAAACCTGGCATTTTGCCTATGGATACCCCCAAAAATGGACTTATCTTATGGCACAGCTGGGTGCTCAAGATACAGTTGCTGAATGTTGAATGGGTGAGTCCAGGGCCGGGCACTCAAGAGCTGCTAAATAAGTGAATGACTGAATAAACATGAAAACTAATACATTTATTGACCTTCTTTTTCATCCAGCGCCATGCTAAGACTTTCTATGAATTATTCATTTAGTTCTCAAGATAAAGGTAACAATCCCCATGTTATAGATGAGGAGACAGAAGCTTAGGTAGGTGAGGTGACTGCC